GGGAAGGTACAGAGATTTCCCATATATTGCCTTCCCCCCCGACACGTGTGATCTTCCTTATTATCAACATCCCCTACCAGAATGCTACATTTTGAGGAAAGAGTGAAGATGGGGAATATAAAAAAAAAAATGGAGTTACTTTAACTAAACTGCAAAAATTATTAATATTATAAAGGTTGAAGCATGAGGGAAGGCGCCATTCTTGTTCTAACCAGTCTGGGAACAAACTTTTAAAAAACTTCCCAGTCCCACCTCAATGCCTAGATATACATCTGGACCTTCATGTAACCCAATTACGCCCTGAAGGACCCATGTAACCAGCTCACCTGACTACCCCCAAAGGAATCACATATACATCCTCCTGACATCCATTATCCAGACCACAAGGAGGCGACCAGACCTCCTGGCACCATCTTCTGGACCATCTGGCATCCACCATCTGACTGATAATCGTCCGGGACCAATGCTAGGAAAAATAATGCAGGACTGATAATTCTCAAGAACGTACTTTTTGCTATAAGAACTTTTCTTTCTTCTTTGGAACACTTCTGGACTTTTGCTCAGCTGTGTTTCCAGTTTGCAAACTCTAAGACCCTTGAATAAATATCACTTATTTCAACAAAACTTCCAGGCTCTTTTTGAGTTTCTTTGGTAATTTGTTATAATTGTTGAATCTACATTGACACACCATAATCACCCAAAGTCCATAGTTTACATTAGGGTTCTTTCTTGGTGGTGTACGTTCTATGAGTTTGTACATGTGAATAATGACATGTATCCAACGTTATTGTATTATACAGAGTATTTCACTGTCCTAAAAATCTTCTGTACTCTGCCTACTTGTCTCTCCCAACAATCTTCCCACCCGAAACTTCCAAACCCTAGCAATGATGGATCTTTTTACTATCACCATAATTTTATGTTTTCCACAATGATAGTTGGAATCATACAGTATGTAGCTTTTTCATATTGGCCTCATTTACCTAGTCATACTCATTTAAGCTGTCATGCCTTTTTATGGCTTGATAACTCATTTCTTTTGTGGGGGGTGTTGTGCTGTTGTTTTTTTATTGTATTTTCAATGGAGAAACACATCATCTGTTTACAAAATAGCTCTTGAAAAATACAAGTAGTACAGATACTATAAAACAAAGCAAACTTGAGTCATGAGACACTATGTAACGAAAACTAGAATAAAAAAGTGCACAGAAAAAGTCCAAGTTTCCAGCTTGGCAAAACTTGGGTGCAGTTACATGAAACATTTAATAAACTGATATTTTTCCCCAATGTGTAAACAAAATGACAAGACTAAATCTGTGCCTGGCAATTTCAAGCTAATTCTTGAAGCTACACAAAACACATTGACACCTTGTACACTTCACCTGTTAGTATGACCATTTTTGGATAACTCATTTCTTTTTAGCACTGAATATTATTCAATTGTCTGGATATACCTGTTTATCTGTTCACCTCTGAAGGACATCTTGATTGCTTCCAGTTTGGCAATTATGAATAAAACTGCTAAAAATATCCATGCACAGGTTTACTGTGAAAATAAGTTTTCAGCTTCTGTGGGTAAATACCAAGGCAGGTAATTGCTAGGACATATGGTAAGAGGATGTTTAGTTGTGTAAGAAACCACCAAACTGTCTTTCAAAGGGGCTGCACCCTTTTGTATTCTTATCGGCAATGCAGGAGAGTTTCTGCTGTTCCACATCCTTGTCAGCATTAGGTGTTGTCAGTGTTCTGGATTTTGGTCATTCCTATAGGTGTGTAGTGGTACCCAGTTCTCCTAACCATTCTCTAAGTCATATGATTTCCAGATCCTTCACTGTTGTTGCCCTTCTCAGGAAGCCTCATTTTATAAAGAAACTGTGAGAAATACTTTCTCACATTTATTTTATAATTCTCTGTCTCTGACAACATCCTCGCAGGTTAAGGAGTATGCTATGAGGGCAGGACTTGTTGAGAAAAACAGAGTGATTATGCAATCATGTACTTTACAAAGTATTCCCCCCCATTATTTCTACTACCCACCTGGTATCACACATAGTTATTATAATGTTATTGATTAAACTATAATTGGAAAAAGTTAAGAAAAAAATTTGCATTGGGGGAAAAAAGGAAGAACAGAGTGCTTTATCATATTTCAAAATGGTTGCTTTTTGTCTTCCTTCTGCTGAGAGCACAAGGTTATTTTTCTCCAGTGTTTACTGTGGGAACCTGGTTAGTCTCCTGGAGGTAAATCTCACAATACTGTGAGGTCCCCTCTATGACTGGGCCCTGCTAGACTTGGCCACACGGAGCCTCCAGCAATTTGTCAATTACAGTTAAGGCTTTCCTACTAGTTCTCTGGTTCCTGCAGCGCTTTCTGCTAGTGAGCCGCTGCTCTGGTAACCCTTGCTGCCCTATATCCACCTGTCTGTCTCCCTAATCTTGGTAGCAGAGGTTTGTTGTATGTCCTCTTGTTTCTTATAGTTGTTGATTTTCAGTCTGTTCAGCTTTCTATTTGTTGTTAGGGATAGTGGTGACTTCCAAGCTCCTGACATGCAAACTGGAAATTGGAAGTTTGAACTTTAAAAAAAAAGCCTTTTTATTAAAAAAAAAATACAGGCTTACAGAAAGGTTGCAAAAGTAATTCAAATAGTCCTGTATGCCCTTTATACAGATTCCCAAGCATGAACATTTTATCACATGTGCTTCATTTATCTACCTACATAATTTTTAAGTGCCTGAGATACAGTATATATTTCCTAAAATCAAAACCAGATAAACAAAATACGGTCATCAAAATCAGAAATTTAGCATAGATAAAAAGCTGTAACTAATCTACAGAGTTTTTTCAACTTTTGCCAATTGTCCTTTAATGTCCTTCACAGCAAAAGAAAATTATCCTTCTCGTCCAGAATCTAATTCAGGATCACATGTAATATTAGTTGCAATGTCTCTCTAGTGTCCTTTAATGGGCAGCAGTTCTTCAGTCTTTGTCTCTCATTACTTTGATATTTTTGAAGAGTACAGGCCTGTTATTTTGTAGAATGTTGCTCAATTTGGATTTGTCTGATATTCCCTAATTATCTGAATTCTGTTGCATCATTTTCCCTATATAGGACCTACTCTCAACCTGCCCATCTTACTATGTATCGAAAGGTAGTATGCAAATTCTCCCAATTTGAGCTGTATTCTCGAATAAATTAACCTGTCCATCTAAATATGCATCAAAGTGTAGTGTGCAAGTTCTCCAAACTTGAGCTGTATTCTTGAACAGATTAATTAATTAATAGGATACATCTTGTTTGTCTCCTCCCAGCTGTTTCCTAGCTCCTCTTCCTCTGCCAACTCTTACATCTGGTGTTTTCCCCAAGGTCTGTCTTTGGCCCTTTTCTCTTTCATACCACTTTCCTCCTAAGTGAGGGCAGTATTTTCCATGGCTTACATATTTTTACATGCAAATAAGAACTCCCTTAGCTCCTGTTTGGTATGTCCAATATGAAATTCACATTCAACATGTTAATACTGGAGCTGATTTTCTTCCCAGACCTGCTCCTCATTCCATAGTCCTGATTTCAATGAACAGTCCCTACTTCATCCAGGCATGTAAGTCAGAAATCTGGGTGCCATTTTGACTCATCCCTGTTCTTCACAAATCATATCTTATGAGTTATTGCCTTAAAAATCTCATTTGACTCTTATTTTCCATTCTCATTACCATAACATTTGTTTAAAATCTTTCCTTTTATCTGACATATTGCTAAAAATCTTTTAACTGCTCTCCCATTTCTAATCTCTGTCCTGCAGATTAATGTTGCCCAGATCTTTTAAAATGAAAACTCCATCATTTGTTTTCTCATGGTAGAAACTCCAAATGGTTCCATATTGTTTAAATTACAGTAGAAATTCAATTGCTTTGGTACAGCACATGGGCTCTTCATGATCCAGCCCCAATACAGTACCATAATCCCTCCATCAATACTCTCCACCATCCCCCTTTCATTTGATTAAGCTGCGTGCTGGCAGCCACAGTCACGCTGTCTTAGATTTCTTGGATTGTTCATGTTATTCCTGCCTCTGCAATCACCTCCATCTCCTTGTCTATTTAAAGAAAACATCATCATTTAATAACCACAACCATCTCACTTCCTTTCTGACGCTTTTCCTTCCATCCCCCAGCACAATTTCCTTTTAAAAAAATACCCCATATATATTTCTCATAGCACCCACAGTACATTAATTAAACTTAACTGATGACATGTCTACTAGAACAATCTTTTGAGGGCATAGAATACATGTTATTGCTTTTGAATCCCAAGTGCCTAGCACTGTACTTGGTGAATAGTTAAGCTGACCGTACAACTAGGTGTGCGCCTGTTCGTCTGGCTTATTTATTAAACTGCGCCTTCTTACACTCTCAAAAGTGTCTTGTTGGCAGATAAATTATATATGGCCATCCTCCACATAATGCATGCTAAGTAAATGTTTGAATGAACAAACGAATGAATGAATGGATAAACCTTAGTCTTCCTTAATGAGCCCTGTATTTGAGCACTTATTACTATACAATATATGTAGTGATAATTTTTTTAAGTTAGTTGCTTATTATGTCTTTTTTCCTTAGCTTCACTCCCGCCTGATTTAATATTGCTTCACATTATCTTGGGCAACACAGCACTCAATCGTCTTTGGGACTTGCTTCAAGAGTTCAGTTTTCTGTATCTTGGCCCGTTTTGTAATCATTGGGGACATTTACTGATGCCAGTGTTTCAAAAGTTCAATTGGCTTAATAAAAATCAGATAGCCACGCAGTGGAGGCTGATAGGCAAAACCAAAAGGTGTCAGAATCACCACCTAAACCACACTGCCCTAACTCATTACGATAGGCGCGATTTTGTTTTGCCCAAAACAAAAATGAATTCCTTTGGAGTCGGTGACCTTCCATTTGCGGACCAATAGAAATCCAGCATTCAGGACACCTACTGTCTTTACTTCCTCCTCGCCTTCCTAGGTCTCTAACTTCTCTAGACTAGTCCGCCTCGTATTCCTAGCGGATTCGGTGGCCGGGGCGGTGAGGTCCGGAGGCGGAGGTCGGGATGAACGCGGGACACGGGGGATCCGTGCGGACGTTGCGGGTGCCCGGCCGCCATGGCTACGCCGCAGAGTTCTCCCCGTACCTGCCTAACCGCCTGGCCTGCGCCGCCGCGCAGCACTACGGCATCGCGGGTGAGGCCGGGCCGCGCCGCGCCGCGCCGCGCCCCCGGGGCCGGGGCGAGGGCGGGGGGTGGGTTGCAGCCTAACCCGGCTTCTTCCCCGTGTCGAAAAGCACTTTCGACAGTAAACAGCGCCACAGCTGAACGCCAGGGGGAGCAGAGGAACTTGTCGGCTCCCGCTCCCTCCATTGTCCAGTGCGGGGAGCTGGTCTGGCGACAGTGTCAACTTCTCCCCTGCCCTCCCCGCTCCCTCCGCGTCCCCGCCCCCCCCCCCCCCAGCGCCGCCCAATTACGGTGCGGAAGTAGTATATGGAAGACGCTTAGCGGTCCGTGTTCTCATTCCTTAAGAGCGCACTGATTCCAGGGCTAGTTGATACCCGCCTCCCCACCCCGACCACCTTCCAGCACACGCCGCCCTAGAGAGAGCGTGTTTAGCCTGTGTAGCTCATCTGACGGCTCTAACAGGTCGGACTAGACCAATGCACGTGGAAGACCTTCCCCAGGGTCACCCCAGGACCTGCTACTTCGTCCACGTTCCCCACAGTCAGCATTAGGGCTGTCAGTCATATATCGGGTGCCCGTGAGCAGACACTTGGAGTCTCCTCTCAGTTGCCATTATGAAACTTACCAAGTTGTGCTCTCATCGTTAGTTGTATCAGGAGGAGTACATTTGCAAGCATTTGTTTGGGGTTTAAGTCAATTGTCTGTGATGGTATAGATTGAAAGGCAGGGTATCTCCCCACTCCCGCAGTCACCACACTGTCGCCAGATCCCCTCCACTCCCTAACCCCACTCGCCTCACAGCTGTCATCCTGCTCTCTATCTATAATCCTCTCGCTATTTTGCTTGTTCAGTTTGTTCATTAGATTCTACGTATGAGGCAGTGTTCCATTCTTGATTTTTTCTTCTTTTAATTAATATCCTAGCTGTTATGTACACACTGAAGATATATGAAACAAATCACTGCATAATGTCAGCTTTTGGTAGTAGTTTTCTGTTTGGTCCTACAGCTGAAAAAATAATGCGACTTTTAAAACTCGGAGAGAAATATTTGCTTTCTTATATTTTCGCCATTAGCTCGTAGAGCTTGCACTTTTAGATTTACAATAATTGCCCGCCAGTTAGATTCAAGACCCATGAGTTTGTGACAGTTTGAATGAAAACCTTTACAAAAGCTTTAAAGGAGTTGGTATTTTTTTTAAATCGGTCATGTTTAAATAAAAGACCCCCCAGAACCCCCTCACACACACACTGTTCCTATAACAAATGGAACTTTTAAAATATGCTGGTTCCTTAGAAAAATAATGCTTATTTGGTAGATAACTTATATATTGTGTTTAGCACTTTACCACCAAGTATGTGGCAAATTATTCCACCAGGTATTTTGTTTTAAAATCCCATGTTGACACGTTTTAGATTTATTGGTGAGGCAGTGAAATGGAGGAGGAACAGAGTCCTGGGGGTCTGTAAGCCAGAGGTTTGTTACCTGTAAAGAGGGATGATAACACCTCTCTGGGAGTTTTATGTGCCTGGCACCTGTCTGGCCACAGAATATGAACTCAAATATCTCCTTTGTTAGGGCTGTCTGGATTCCACACATAGGCGAGATGATAAGTGTCATCTTTAATGATTGAAGCACAATATAGAAAGACAGAAATGGAGCACACAATCTGACCATTTTGTGTACATGGTCTCAATAACTTTAGGGGGAAATTCATGGTCATAAGTTAGGTACTCAGTGCTCAATCCCTTCTTGTCCTTAGGTGGTCCCCTGGCAGGTTCAACAGCATGACCTCCATTTCCTTTGTCCTTAGGCTGTGGAACCCTGCTAATAGTGGATCAAAATGAATCTGGGCTTAGGCTTTTTAGAAGGTAAGGTGGTTCTCTAATTGGTAACTTATATGTATTCTCTTTTGCTGTTAGAGCCTCAGTAGAATTAGGTTTTGAATCTTTTTTATCTATAATTTTTTTAATTTTTAAATTTGCAATATAAAAGAAACTTCAGCATTTGCATGTGCCATTAAGTTTGATTGTCAATTTTCTTCTAAAGCTCTTGTCTCTTAGTGTCCATTTAGAAATTATAAAATGTAAATATAAAAAAATGAACTAGTTAATGTACTGCTGTGTGATGTTTCTGTCTTTGCTGTCCTCTTAATGTAGTTAGCATCACTCATTCAGGAGCTAATTATCCATTTTGTAGATTACCCTGTGACTCCCTTTCTTCCCATGCGTGTCTTGCTTGTATGGCTGTTGGACTCAATATGTCCATCAGAGTTAGTCAAAGGTAGAGAGAGGAAAGGAAATGCTGTCAGAAAATAACTGCCTCCTCTTGGCTCAGGCAAAAGGTTTATGGGAAAGGTTGAAATTATTGCCCTAAGTTAGTATTTTAAAGTGGCTGCTGGTCTTGCCTCTGAATCACAAAAGCAGTGAGCACCCAGGTATGGCAGCATGCCTTCATGTAAACAGTGCTGTGTCTCTAGTGGGGAGACCTCATCTGAGTCTAGCTTTGTGGTTTTCTAGCTGTATGACTTAGGCTGTTCTCCTCACTGCTTTGAACTTGTTTCTGCATATGAGAAGTGCCCATTCTGCTTATTTCTCATAGTTGGGAAGACCAGGCAAGATAATGTGTTAAAATGTGATAAACTTTTAAAAACTGTAGTTATTATTATTTTACATGCAACTAGATTTTTTTAGTTTTGATTTTTTTCTGTCGTAGCTTTGACTGGAATGATGGTTTGTTTGACGTGACCTGGAGTGAGAACAATGAACATGTCCTGGTCACCTGTAGTGGGGATGGCTCGCTGCAGCTCTGGGACACTGCAAAAGCTGCAGGGCCACTGCAAGTCTACAAGGAACACACTCAGGAGGTAGGAAGGGAGTCTTTCTGGGCTTATGGGGTTTTTTTGTTCTGTTTTTATTTTTATTTTTGGATGGAACGCATTTGGGGGTGAAAACATGAGGACATGTTTTCATGAGGACTTCTTGTTCAGGGAACAAGAAGTTGAAGCTTTAGTGTTTGTCATACAAGTTAGATGTACCTCTTGGCCTAAGGAGCTGGGAAGGAAGAAAGGGTCAGTAAAAACTCTGCCTTCTCATTAGTCAGTAAAAACACCGCCAGTAGAAGCACACTTTGGCACCAATTCCTCCAGAGTCCCTTGCTTTCTTTACTCTCTAGGAATGTGCCTGCCATACTCTGCCTCAAGATAGAGGTAGGCGGGCTTTTTGCGAAGACATCACAAGGTTGCCTTTAGGTCTTCAGTAGGATTCCTAAGGATTTTCAGAATATATTGGAGCAAAAGCATCAAATACTGAATATGAGATAGAGCTTACTGAAGAGACTTTAAATCTGGTTCATTTGTCTAGATATTGTGTCTGTGGCGGGGGAGTAGCATAGAAAATAGTTTGACCTTAAGTCATATTAAAATACATATGTGTTTTTAATAAACATGATGGTAAGACATTCTCATTTGGTATTTTATTTTAAATGTTTAAAAATTTTTCTTGAGGTAGCAATAGATCCTTCAAATGAAAACTTGGAATACTTTCAAATATGTGTTTACCACAGGGCCTGGCCTATCATAGAGGGCCTTTTGTAACTGTTTCTCAGATGTAAGAATGTTAGTCTTTTGTGATAAGAGGTTAGTTTTATGAGGATTCCAGACATCATTTTATAGCTATAGTTATTAAAAATCAGTACCTCTAGGATTGTGATTGAAAATAATGGAAAAGTTTAGTTCCTCTTTATTGTGAAGGCTCTTTGAATAAGTATAGCTGTAAATGATCATGTTTTCATGGAACTATTGAAAATTAAAACAACTTTGGTAAAGAAGGAACTTCAGTTTCAGGATATTCAATGCAAGAATTTCCACAGAGCAGAATGTCCAAAATTCAGATATTTTTGTGATACTTTCATGGTTTTTGCTTCATGGTTCTTATACTACTTATATTATAATTAATTGTTTTAAAACATTAAATTTTAATATACCTCTCATGTTTTTCTTTTATTAAATCTTTCATGCTGTGTATTGCTTATCTATACAAATTCTAGAGCTGTAACTAACAGATGATAAAATATCTAGTTATGTTAATTAGGATATATAGCTTTAATGTTTTTCTTGAAATAAGTTTTATGTTATTTCACTCATCCTAAAAAGTTATATTCATGAAGCTATGGGATTTATGGCTTAGTATGTGCATTTATTAATTTTTAATGTATGTTAAAATAAACATAAAATGAATAAAGTGTACGTACCAGTTAAAGTCACCTCATACAACCAGAGGTGTGTGTATGGAGGGGGGGCAAAAGTAGGCTTACAGTTCAGATGAAAAAATAACACAATAATAAATAATAATACAAGAATAAACCATGTTTCTCATACTCACAGCTGCAAACCTCCTTTTGTCCCGCCCTGTATGTACTACCTTCTGGAAAATATTATTCTAGAATGTTCCCCATAATGGTCTCTCAGTCTTCATCTCTGTGAAATTGAATTTCACTATCTCACACAACTTCCCTAACTTTTAAATTGCTGTACTGTTTTAGAAAATTGCTCTTTTAAGCCCAGATCTATTCTCCATGGCAACCAACTGTTGCTTCAAATGCCTTTCTCTGAGGTGGTGAGACTTAAGTCCAATCTCCATTTTCCAGGAGAACCCTTGAGAATAGCCATCGTGCCCCCTTCTAGCCTTCCCTCTTCCAGACTCTGCATTTGTAATTCCTTCAGCCTGTCCTCAGATTACATGGTCTCTACATTTTTCACCCTCCTGGTAAAAATGTATACTCTCTTGTTCTTTAGTGTTGCTTTTAATAATCTATACCTCATCTAGTCCAGAAATGTGATGATCAGTGTTGAGTTTTGTAAGACTTTGCTACCATAACCTTGAACCCCTAGGTCTAGTTAGTAATAGCACCTAACATGACTGTACAGTTTCTTCAGCCATGTCATAGTGTTGGGTTACTTTGAATCCAATAGTAAAGTACCTAGATCTTTGTTATTTGGACTGCTGTTAAACTAGGTTTCCATCTTTCTATAATTATGTAACTCTTTTTTTTGAAACAAAGATATGCTCTTTTTTTCTTTTTCTTTTTTTTTTTTGTCAGTCTGTTATTCTAGGTTGTCCTTCCTCATTTCCTTTTTAAAGGCAATTTTTGATAACTGCTTCTGTTAGGATGCCTTGGCTGTTAGTGTAATAGAAAACCCAACAAAATGTATTCAACAATCAGAGTTTATTATTTCACATAACTACATATATGGAAGTGGAATGGGCTGGGCTTAGGTAATTCAGGGCTTGACCATGTCGTCAAATACTCAAGTTCCTCTGGTCTTTGCACTCTGTTATCCTTAGTGGGTGTCTTTTTTTCTTGCACTCCTGAAAATTTCAGCTATTATTTCATCATCCTGTGAGGTCAAAGAGCAAAAAACATGGGTGTCCCTATCTTGGGACTTCTTGTAAGACTGAGAAACGCTTCCCGAAAGCCCCACAGCAGATACCTCTTCACAGTTGAGTTGCTAGAGGAACATCACATGGCCAGTCCTAAAGAAGGGACAGAGCTCTCCCTGGAGGACAAAATTAGGCTTCTATGAACAAGGATCAAACCCTTGGGAAGCCAGTCATCTCTAGTGCCACAACCTTGCTTCTTATTTTTCTCACAATTGTTAGTAAAAACTATACCAAGCAGAGAGGTGAAGAGAGAACTGTAGGAATCTCATAAAGCTCATCCTCCATGAGATTGTTAAGAATTTCTGATGATCAGCTTAAAGCTCAGTATTATAATACCAAATATTTGGAATTTTTCATTAAAGTGAAATACAGCATTTATTCAAAGTTTGTCTCTTATGCCAAACACTCAGAAACACTTGAAAGGATGTACGATCAAACAAGGGAGTTTTGAGGAGCTAATAAATATTTGTTGAATAAATTAGTAGGTGCATGAGCATAGCCGATTCCCTTTTTTTCCCCAGCATGTTCAGAAAAGCTATGCTACACAACAGAATAGCACACAATGGGTCATTTTCTCCCATGGGAGAGAGTTTAGAATGAGGATGAACAACAGCAGTGTTTCGGAATCCTGGCTCTATAGCTTTCCTGCTCTGTAACCTTGGGCAAGTTACTTACTTTTCCTAAACTTAGTTTCTTTACTTAGAAACTTGAATAATAGTTGGTGTCTTAGGTTTGTTGTGATAGAGCAAAGCTAGCACTAAATAAATAGGAGTTATTATTATTATTATTTTCCCTTATTATAATAAGGTTAGAAAAGCACGGAACAAGCCAGGAATCCCCAGGGTACCCATTTCACCACTTAATGACTATGTGAAAAATATCCAACAGTCAATTTTCAGATAGTCTGATAAGTACTGAAGCAAAAAAGAGAAATCTAAGACTTAGATATAGTTTAGGCCCTGAGGAATGAAGGTCTTGGTGAAATGAAAGAAAATCATGGACATCATTCCTTTGCATGGTTTCTAAACTTAGCACCAAAGCAGAAATCAGACTCTTCATATTGTTTAACTGGTAGCGGCAGAGGCTGTTATGTCTTTTGAGCCCGATAAAATGCCTTTAGCTTAGACTGCTGCTGAATATATAATAGGAGTGGGAGAACCGGGGAAAAAAGAGGATGAATGGAGAGTTTTGTTTCCCTACTTCATGACTTCCAGCACTGTGCTGTTGAGAGAGAGTTAGCACTCACTTCAAAGATGACATAGACTCGATGTTTATTTTAAGATCTAGTTGTCAGTGTGCTTATTACCATTTTTAAAAATAGTTAAAATGTATCATTATAGTCAAATACCAAGGCTTATCAATTTGTTGAAAAATTTTAAAAGACATTGACCCATTTTAAGTTTTCTGATCATTGTTTATAAAAACCAATCTTTGAATTAAGTATCCAACAATTAGTATATTGTTATGGATAAAATGTATTTAACAGTAATTTTATAGGAAAGATGTGCCATAGGGTTAAGATCTTGCTTATTTAAAAAAAATGAATAAATTTTTACCCCTCTGATAATGACAGAAGCTGAAAAGTTTATGACAGGTACCCATAAAAATATTAATGCATAATGACAGCCACTCATGTGTTGAACACCATTTTCTTCTCTTTAGAAATGTATTTATGTTTAAAACTGCAACAGATTTGTCATTCAAAATGGTATTTTTCCCCTTTCCTTCCTTCCTTCCTCCCTCCCTTCATTCCTGCTTTCGCTCCTTTCTCCCTTTCTCTCTCTTTCTCCCTCCCTCCTTTCCTCTCCCTTCCCTTCTTTTCTTTTAAAACAAAAGGCACAATTGAACTTGATATATTTCTTTTTGCATATTAGTCATGCTCAGCCAGTAATTCTCGAATAGATTACTGCATTAAGATTTTATTATAATTTAAAATATCCTTTTAAAACATTCCCCCTTAAAACTGTGATTGTAGAGAAAGTCTTAGTTTCCAGTTATATGTCAGTTGAATCAGTTCTCCCTTTGGATTTTACTGTCAATGGGGTATACTATTTCTCATCACATTTTAATCCTCTTGTTTTAAAAGCATTCACCCTTTCTTGGCTGTGTTTAGTATTTTAAAGATTGAACTTGCATTAAAAGAGATAGACCTTTCCGTACTGGTAGCAGGTATTATGTGCTAGGCATGTGCTAGTCATCAAATACTTAGGGGCTAGTCTCTGGTAGTAGTTCTGGGATGTGCAAGAAAACCATGTAATACAATGTGGTAATGTTGAGAAGTGTCTAGAAGGTACAGAGAGAGGGGGACTAAGAACTGTCAGAAAAAGTTGCTATTTGAGCTGAGTCTTGGGCAACTAGGAGGAAGAGTTTGCCAGGCAACCCAAAAGGAAAAGGGCATTTCTGATGGAGAAGAGCATCCGCAAAG